CAGCATGTGCTCGGCCAGCCAGCCTTGGTCGCGGCCCATGGTGGACGCGATGCGCAGCGCGAAACACTTCTTGCCCAGCAGCGCGTTGCCGCCGTAGCCCGAACCGTAGCTCCAGATCTCGCGCGTCTCGGGGTAGTGGACGATGTACTTCGTCTTGTTGCAGGGCCAGCTCACGTCGGCCTGGCCCGGCTCCAGCGGCGCGCCGACCGTGTGCACGCAGGGCACGAACTCGCCGTCGGTGCCCAGCAGCTCGACGACGGCGCGGCCCATGCGCGTCATCGTGCGCATGTTGACGGCCACGTAGGGGCTGTCGCTCAGCTCCACGCCGATGTGGGCGATGGGGCTGCCCAGCGGGCCCATGCTGAACGGCACGACGTACATCGTGCGGCCGCGCATGCAGCCCTTGAACAGCGCCTGCTCGCCGGTCTGCAGCAGCGCGCGCATGTCGGCCGGGGCCATCCAGTTGTTGGTGGGGCCGGCGCCGTCCTTCGTCGGCGTGCAGATGAAGGTGCGGTCCTCGACGCGGGCGACGTCGCTCGGGTCGGAGTTGGCGAGGTAGCTGCCCGGGCGCAGCACCGGGTTGAGCTGCTTGAAGGTGCCGGCGGCGACGAGCTGGTCGCACAGGCTCTGGTATTCGCCGGTGCTGCCGTCGCACCAGTAGACGTCGGCCGCCTCGGTCAGCGCCGCGATTTCGGCGACCCAGGCGATCAGCCGGGCGTTCTTGACATAGGCGGGCAGATTCAGGCGCAGGCCCTGCATCGCGGGTTGGTTCATGGGAAAGCTCCGATCATGGGGATGTGTTTGGGGCAACCCCGGAGCTGTCCCAAGCACACCGGGCCTGGGCGGCCGGCAGCGTGGAACTCAATGTAATCACGATGTAACTCGCCAGCGATTTTGGATTATGCAAAGCGTGCATAAGCGCATGCTGGCGAGCTCATGTGTGCCGTCGTCGACGGTAAGGTGGGTCAGGGTTGCGGCAGGTGTGCGTGAAACTTGATGGAACCCTAGGCACTTTTCTGGGGCGTTTCCGGTGCCATACCGCAGATGTCGGCGGCCCAGGAAGGGTGTAAGTCCTACAACCGGCGCGTTAGCCGCCTTCCATCATGGAGACGGGATGACTGCCGGAGCAGCGCGCATGACCCACCGCTTCCCTGAGTCACGATTGAACGAGATCGACGAAGCCGCGCCGGTGGAGCCGGTCTCCTTCCCCGGCTCCGCCAAGATCGCCGCGCTCAAGCGCACGCTGAAACGCCTGCGGGGCTTGCTGGCCAAGCGGGATGGCGGCGCCGAGGTTGCCCTCAAGCCGCCTCAGAAGGCGCTGGAGCGCTGACGGCCCGCGAGGCATCGCGCCACGTGCACGTGGCCGCTGACGACGGCGATGCCCGCCAGCACCAGCACGCTGCCGGCGATGAAGCCTGCGTCCGGCCGCTCGCCCAGCAGGCCCATGCCCAGCAGCACGCCGAACAGCGGCGTCAGGAAGGCGAACACGCCGAGCTGTGACGCCAGGTAGCGGCGCAGCAGCCAGCACCAGGCCAGGAAGCTCGCGAAAGACACGACGAGGGCCTGGAAGCCGAGGTGGGCGAAGACGCGCGCGCTCGGCTCGAAATGCCACTGCCCCGTCAGCAATGCCGCCGGCAGCAGCAGCACGAAGGCGCCGAGCAGCTGATACAGAAGCGTCTCGGTGGCCGGCGCAGCGGCCAGGCGGGAGCAGCGCAGCGTGATCGTCGTCGCCCCCCAGGCCGCCC